AGGTCAGCCTGGGGAATCGATGGGGATGTGTAGGTCCCACTCTCCCCAGATGGGATGTGTCCTTTGGCCAGGGACCAGGAGACAGGAAATGATGTTCTTGGAGCAGGTGGGCTTAGGGGGGAAAGGGAGCAGCCTCCTCCCCTCCTCTGAGGGAAGATTTGGAAATTAGCAGTGAGAGAGCAGCTGCTTGAGGGGCAGTTCTAAAGGGCACAAGATAAGGCTGACCACAGCTTGATGGAGGTGACTTTGGGTGAGGGAAGCAAAGGGAGACCCCATGCAGAGAGCTGGGTAGCAGAAGAACTGAAGGTGGAAGACTCTTCTCTTGTCCCCCTCAGGGACCCAGAGCTTCCTTCATCTTCCCCCTGCTCCTTAACCCACCCCTTAGGCTTGGAGAGACAAATAAAATAAAATAAAATAAACAAAAACTTGTGCCAAGAGAGAAATTGCAGCTCCTCAAAAATGGAAAGCAGGGTCATCATCCTAATATTTTGAACGTGGACCATTCCAGAGAACAGCAAGACGTGTCAGGAATGAGAATGGTCTGAGACAGGGCCCCAGGAATACTGCCCACTCCACCAGGGAGATGAAAGAATTTTCTCTTTCCTTTGACTTTTAAATGTAATTCTGTCTGCCCTGCTCCCCCAGCACCCGCTCAACCCTCTCGCTGGGAGCAGTGCAGACAGTTAGCAGTCCTGGGAAAAGGCAGGATCCTTTTCATTAACTTCAGCCTGATTGAAGTCCCCAGAGCCACGGCAGATTGCATTTTCCTCCCTTGCTGCCTCCCCGCACAGCCAGGCTGCTCTGGGCAGTGAAGGCTTTTCCAGGGGGACAGAATGAGGCCATCCTCGAGTAGGGCAATGGCTTGGAGAGGGTCTAGATCAGTGCTTTTCAGAACCATGGCTTTGGGGAGGGACACATTTGTGTCTTCATGCGTGGGCCTCAGTTTCCCTGGTATTCTGAGCACATCTATCTTACATCCAGCACAGAGGCAAGCAGCAGCTGTGTCGGGGTTAGGGGTGTCTGCAGAGGGACTGGGGGTTCGAGACTCACCCAGGCTTGTTGTTAACTAGCCATGTGATCTTGAGAAGTCACTTAGCAACTTAGGCAAAGTAAGGACTTAGTCTGGAAGGTTTGAATTTGTTTTAGGGGCAAAACATTTGACTCCAAGTTAATTTGTGTATATGAAAGAGAGAAGAGCAGAGCTGCTCTGGGTGACAGGTGGGTGGGGCAGAGAGGACACAACAGGGACTCTCTGACTCTACCACGTGCCTTTGCTCTGGTTCCCCAGCAGAGGCGGCTCCTGACCCCTCTGGGGACATGGTGGTTTTTTTTATCCACCCAGAGAACTTCCACTGTCTCCTTCAGGTCCTGATATTCTTTGGGGGTCCAGATCTAGGTGGCTGCAATTTCACCATACAGGAGGACTTCCTGTCCTGTATTTCTAATCCGCATCTGAGCAAGATGCTTCAGCCAACCTTCTCTTCTTCCTGAGTGCATGATGTGTAGACATTTAGGAAATAATCAGCTTTGTAAAAGGGAGTGGTCAAGGAGCAGGATCTGTGTTCAGCTCTAGAGCTCATGTAGTTGGTTAGAGCAAGAGTGGAAGCCAGAAGCAAGGCATGCAGGGGGTCCTGGCTGGAAGTTTGGGAAAAGCAGACTTCTGCTCTAGTTAATTCAGGAACCACCTAGGGACTAGGTCACAAGTCCACCTTTGGTCAGATAACACCTGAAACGTGTGCTAGATTGTGAGGGAAATAATTCAGAGTCTCCAAGGTAAAGAATTCAGATGTTCCTGAAGTTACCTGATAACCATAACTGACACCTCCTTGCTGCCTCCCCCAAACCCACCTCGGATAAGCTAACATGTCTAAGCAGCCTCGGGCCCATCGTATCGTTTCATCCCCAGGAAGGGGAGCTCCCCCTCTCTGTCTGGTAGTGGGTTCATTCACTGCTCAACCTCTTTCCCTTTCATCCTATCTTTCCTTCAGTTTAACCTTTGACACCTACACTGAAGTATAAGCCAATATTCTCTTGTAAAACCTACAGAGGGGACAAAAGAACTTGTTCTCATCATGTAAGTTAATTAATTCATTCAAATATCCGAGTGCCTCCTTCATGCAGGAAATGCTGTAGATACTGAGTGCCATTTCCCCTTGTTGACTTGAAGGGTGTCATAAGCCATCTCTCACATTCACACGCTGTTCTCCAGGCTCAGCAGTTTAGTCATTCTTCCCCTTACCTAGAGGTTGACAGTGTTCCCCACTTTCCTTTTAAGTCATTTGGCCAACAGGTATTTATTGACTAATCACCTGTCTAGGCTCCTCTCATCACTTTGAAGAATGCAGAAGCTACATAAAATAGAAATCATGTTCTTGTTGGGCATGGTCTTATTAGGTGAAAAAATAATTTTAAAAAATACGCACGACAGCACAAAACAGACCCTTAAATAATTAAGAACTAAATTGCATGCATCTGATTTCCTTTTAAGAGAAGGAAAGAGGATGTGAGGCTTCTAGGAAGGTGGGATAGATCCTAATTTTGTTGAGCTAGAGACCTAACAAGTAATAACCAACGATGCCATATCTCTATATCCAGCCAAGCAGATGGATCTGGCAACTTCTCAATTCCCAAACCGCTGACATGAGGGAACAGTGCATATGTTGAGATGCTTTGAACACGCCTGTGGTTGATTTCCAGATGAAGCATCTCAGAGCTAGGAGGAAGTAGATGTTTTGTCTCACGCCTTCTCCGTATCTGGTGAACCCTGTTAAGTGGGGGAAGAAAGGCACCTGCCTGCTGGATTCCCAAGGCCTGGAGAATTCAGAGATTTGGTCCAATATGCTAACACGTGTTGGTGCCTCTGCCCTTGCAAAGGTCACTGCCGTGCTCAAGCCTCCCTCCAGCTTTTCTGTCTGTCCTCCCCAGCTCCACCCTAGTCTTTACTCAACTCAAGTTAGAGGCCTACACTGCATTGATAAGCTCCAAAGAGTAGATGGTCCTTGCCAATTAAATGAAAGAATGTGTGGAAGAAGGGTAGTTAAGCGTCATTCATAGGGACATGCTTTATGTTACTGCCCATGGCTCATTGACTCAGAAAGTAGCACTCATCTCTTTTCCTCCACCATGGCACCTCAACAGATGATCTCCAGCCTGCTATTGTCCAGAAGCACCATTGTACAGCAGAAAGAGGAGGAGTTTTGGGAAAATATAGTTTTGGATTTAAATCCCAATACATATACCACCTGTGTGACCTAGAAAATGTTGTTTATCTTCCATTAAGTCTCAATTTTCCCATCCATAAAGTGGAGATGCTTTCTATCTCGTGTGGCAATTGTAAGGTTAAAAATGAAAAAAGTGTTTTAAGCAGCAAACACTTTGCTGGATACCCAAGCAATCCTCGATGCACAATGTCTCCTAACTCCCTCCATCGTGCTGGATGTATGCCTTGGCTGGCAGGAGCAGATGCACGGGGAGCTGGGGCAGGAGGGGCATCCCTTGTCCACTTCTTGCAGCTGCCTCACCTGAACCTCCTTGTCTGCTGCCTTTCCATACACGGGGCTCAGTTCCAACTGCATCTTATCTCAGTATCCCCCCCACCCCGACCTTTCTTGCTCTATGCACACGCAGTTTGGTGCTTACACACCACTACCCTCTGCTCACATGACATATACATATCTAATCTTCGACCAACCTATAGTTCCTTAATGGTGGGGACTGTCTTACGATTAGGTGTGGCCCTCCATGACTTGTCAGGTATCCTAATGGTATCCTAATGGCCTGTTGCATGGCTCTTTCATAACAAACAGAGGATCCAAACTGGCTGTCCATCAGGAGTAGTGCCACCTTCTCTGGGCACCTTCAGTCTGGGGAACCTCACCCTCAGGACTTGGGGTGGGGACAAAGGGACAGCCTGTACATTCCCCACCTCATCTCTGCTCTTTCCCAGACTTAACACCACTTTCTGTATCATTTTTGGCAAAATGATTTAGAGGAGCTAAACAGCCCAGTTGAGCTTTCCTGAAGGCAGCATGACCCCCTCTCTTTCTTGAACCAAACAAAATATTGTTACAGCAAACATGAAATCTTTCCTATTTTTTGCAAACGCTCTCCAGGCCTAACAAAGCTAGCAGTCACACTCCTTGAATCAAAATAAGCATCTGCCCTTTTTCTCTTTATCCCACAATTTCCCAGCATTTTTGAACAATAAAGTATGTGATTATTTTAGTAATTAATCGTATGCTTCTATTTAGTGCTTTCTGGAGAAGATGCAAAAATATCAAAACATGAACTTGACCCTTTAATATCGATTAAACACAGAGGCACAGAAAATATATAAACCTGACTCTTATTTTCCAATATTGTACATGGCAGTTTGAGGCATAAGCTATGAACACCTGAATAGTATATAAGATCAGAGGTAATATACAGTGACAGGAAGCTGAGTCATGTGTAGGTGGGTAAAGAGAAGGGTTATTTTTACTGGTCTGATAGAAGAAGGAGAAGGAGAAGGAGAAGAAAGGGGAGGGGAAAGAGCAGGGGAAGAGGAAGAAGCAGGCCTCCCAGAGGAGGTGGTCTGTAACTGTCTCTTTAGCTCGTGGTATCACAGACTACTTTGGTAGTAGAAAGAAAGTCAGGGACCTTCTCCCAAAGTAAGTGTTACACATCTGTAAATTTGTGCATAATTATACTCACAATTTTAGAAGTTTGTGGACCTCCCAGTGTCCACACAGAGTCCCTGATCCGTGATTTACAACCCTTAGTAGAATTGGTGGCACATGGAGGGCCGCAGAGGGAGAAAAAGTCAGAGATGTGGTGGACACAAGATGAGAAGGCTGTTGGGTCTAGGTTCCTAGCCCAGAAGTACCACATTTGCCTTTTGTGATTCTGCTTCTCGAGCTTGGGAGCTGGGCGGTGGTGAGTCCATTCCTTGTGAGTTGTCCAGTGGATACTGTGCACAAGCCTAGAGAAGTATCACTCAGAAAAACTTTGTTCTTTTCCAGCTCCTCTCAGCCAGTGACCTTGCAGCCAGCGACCTCAAAGGATTTCAGCCACAGGTAAGTCCACCGGGTCCCTTTGTGAAGCTTGGGAGAGTTGAAATGCCCCATAGTTTGGTTGTAAGCAAACAACATTGGAACCAGGACAGAAACTCCCATAATGGATCTCCAGTTTTTCTGACAGTCTGACGCTTTCAACCTTGACAGTGACCTGGTAGCTTGTACTCTGGCTGCAGCTACCCCTCGTGTCATGGCAAACACAACCTCTTTCTGCTGTCTCTCTATGTTTTATAATGGCAGGGGCAGGGGTGGAATGTAAGCCAAGATGGCTGGAATGCATGATGGTGGGCAGCCTACCAGAGGAAGAGGCTAAACCAAGCAGGTAGAGGTCAGGGTGGGGCTGGCGTTCACCCCGGTACTTCTCTTTTTGGGGACAGGATACTTACCTTTCTGAACTCTCCGTGTGCAAATGACTTAGAGTCAAGGTATGGCAGCCACGTTAGTCTCAGACTCTTGCATAGGCAGATGGTTGTGTTTTGCTGATCATGGGCAGGAAAGAGACCACCATTATCTCTGGCCAGAATGTGGTTTGGAGGTTGTCATGGGCAGACCACAGGACGGAGCAGGCGAGGGGTCTCAGAGAACCTCCATGGCGGTGGTAAAGATGGAACAACTCTACCCTTCCTATCTCTGGAAGGAGATTACTGTCAATGAAGGAACGTAGAAGCATCAACACACATACACAGCAGACACACAGAGACCCTTGTGTTCTCTAGGCACCCCAGTGGAGACTGAGCATATATACAGAGAGAGGTAAACCCAAGAGTGACAGCTGTGGTCCTCCATCCCTGGTCCTGTCCCTCTTTGGATAGGAACCTTGCTGTCACTTTTCCAACCCGGCACCTGCCCTAAGGACCCCATTGTTCTCTGCCTTTGTGGGGAGATACCATAGCTCAGGACACACAACTTTGGGGACAGAGCAAGTAATTCTCTAGTAGCAAGCATTCCCTATATTTGGTAATGTTTTGTTCTTTAAATCAGTTTCATATCTGTGAGCTCACCATGCCCTCACTACACTTCTATGTGGGGTATACCCTGTGTGTCCCCTTATGCTGCAGGGGCACGGAGGACCCGGGTCCTGGTAAGAAACGGCCTCAGACCACACAGGGAGCCAAGGACAAGAACACAGAGTGGAAAGCGAGGGCTTAGAGAGAGAGAGAGAATGCACAAAACAAAGGGCTCCGAGGGAGAGGCAGAGATGAATCCTCGCACCGTTCAGGGTGTGGTGTCCGTCTGTTGATCCTTGTTGATCCTCTGTTGATGCAATGAGGTTTTAAAAATAGGTAACCAGCAAGCCTTTTGGCAACTATTGACAGCTGATAATCACTTACTCACATATTCACACAAACTTCCAGGGGAGTGAAGGGAATGTGAAACGAAAGCATCAGAAAATCAACATTTACCCATACCCTGTCCATGGCCATGCTCACACTCAGTGGCATCCCAGCTAAAGATTCATTTTTCCCTGAAAATGTATAAAAACAAAGAATAAATAAGGCTTGTGCAATGTTTTGTGGCTTGAAAAGGCACATAGTAGAGACTGACTTTATGGAAGGGGCATGTGGATGTGTCTGTGTGTGTGGTTTTGGCATCAATTCTTTCTGAGGTGGTTACATTTCTTTCCATGTCTGTTGAGCTGCATTTCTAGATAGTAGATTTAAAGGGAAATGTTAAGGGAAGGAAAAGTTAGGTTTATCTGAGGTACCTCAATGACGTTTGAGGCCATGATGCTGGAAAGGCAGCCCCTGTACTCGTGCAGATAACCCCACAGTAGCTGGTGCAGATGGCTCACTCCCCTGGTTCTGTCTGACCTTTCCACATTATTCCATTTGTGTGTCACTCCCCTGAGGCTGGAGACATAAATGCATATTTTTCACTCCTCAGGATGCGTGTTCCCGAGGCCAGGAAGCCCAGGGAATCTTGTGGCCAGCACGTAATGCCCAGATCAAAGTTAATTCTCCAGTGTTATTCCTAAATCAAAAAGGCCCGGATGTGTCTCGAGTCAACACCACCCTTTTGGGTGCTTTTCCGAACAGGAACAGAATGCTGCCCACATGCTTTAGGCTGCCTTCTCTCAGCCCCACTGCACCAAATTGTCGGCTTCTGTTGTTATTTTCTGCTTTTGGTTTCAGCTGAAACTGAGCCCCACGCATCTTGATGTCTGCAGCAATCATGGACACGTTCCCTTCTGGGAACCGTGGCAGACGTTCAGGAGGGGACCTCACTGAGATGCCCGAGACCCCCCAACCCCCTGACCTCCCCCAGGGTCACTGCAGTGGGGCCTGTCAGCTCCCATCGAATTCACATGTATCAGGGGCCTGTAAAGGGTTTTCTTTTCCTTGGTGCCTGTTCAGGCTGCAACTGCTTAGGGAAAAGGGACATCGTTTCCTCACTGATCTTTGACGGCTCTTAGCTTTGAAAGTGTGGAGCAGCAACTATACTGGACTCTGTACTTTATGGGTCCAGATGGAGAAGAAAAGGGTCAGGAAGCAATTGTCTGTCTTTCTGTCCATGACTGTTGGTTTGTAAAGACACCATGCCATGCCTGGGAATAAGGACGTTACTTCCAAGGAAGAGCCTGATGGTGGATGCTAAGGTTTCAAGGTTTGTAGGATAGGAGTGCATGTTCTCCTGGGCTGGTGTGCTTGTCCTCTGCCGCACAGGGGAGACCTGTCCCCTAGCATCAGGCCTGGGCTGACAGGTACCTACCATTCTCAGCAAGTTTTAAAGGCACAGGTGGAAAAGCTTCTGCAATTTACATCTAAACCCCCCAGACCCTTCTCTTCCATTTGGTTCCCACCTCAAACACATCTTTATTTTCCATTATCCTGTTCTTTTGCCTTTTGAAGGAACAGATACAGTGAGTCTCCTTTTCTTCTTGTCTTTGGATGGTTGGAAATGAGGATCCTCATCCCTTTTGCCGGACCATCCCTCTCCATCCCCCATGAGAATAAAAGCAGGTGTCTTATTCCTATTTGTAAAATCCACCAATTGTGTGCTTTCTCCTTCCTTCCTTCCTTCCTTTCTTCCTTCCTTCCTTCCTTCCTTCCTTCCTTCCTTCCTTCCTTCCTTCCTTCCTTCTTTCCTTCCTTCCTTCCTTCTCCTTTCTTCTTTTGCCTAGTATAAAAGCTGTCAAGTATTCACTGTAGAAATTTTGGAATGTGTGAAGGGAGTCAAAAGGTACAAACTTCCAGTGATAAAACAAATGAGTCCTAGGGATGTAAAGTATGGCATGGTGACTGTAATTAGTAACACTGTGTATCTGAAAGTTGCTAAGAGACTAGGTCTTAAAAGTTCTTATCATGAGAAAAAAATTTGTGACCTGTGCAAGTGATGGACATTATTTAAAAATATAACTTAAAAAAGAAGTCTGAGAAGTACAGAAAAACATAAAAAATCTCCTCTTACTCTACCTCAGAAATCTAGGTAATGACATTTTGGGGTCTTACAGTCTTTGTTGTTCATTGATATGTATGCATCTATCAGATTTTTCAAAATGTAGTATCATATTTTATATGTTTTTTGTTACCTTCCACTTTGCATGCTTTCCATGGCACTGAAGATTCTTCTAGCAGCTGGCTATTTTGGTCTGCTTGCTGGTCCTGTCATATATTTACCACTTCCCCCTTGCTAGATGTCACATTACTTTTGCAGGCTGAGATTTCCAGGAGCAACCCCAGGCAAATGCTGACTCTACTATCCTCATCTAGGATACAAGGGGCATCCAAGGCTTCTTGGCACTTAATTCTTTGTTTCTCAGCTCCTGCAGGGATGGGAAGGCTTTTTTTTTTCTTTTTTTAAGATTTATTTATTTATTTGACAGAGAGGGTGAGAGTAGGGGGAGGGGCAGAGGGAGAGAGAGAATCCTCTAGCAGACTCCCCACTGAGCGTGGAGCCTTATGCTGGGCTCAGTCTCAGGACTCTGAGATCATGAGCTGAGCTGAAACCAAGAGATGGCCGCTCAACTGATTGAGCCATCCAGGTGCCCCGAAGTGAAGGCTTCTTAAAGTTTTCAGTGGAGTATCCATGTGAAGGCACCCTTGGACACTTGTGTACACACTTACAGGGGCCCAGGTAGGGAATGTGCTGAAAGAACAAGAAAAAATAACGTGGCATGGGCCCACACACTCAGATGCAGGGTTTCACATGTCCAGCCTCAGTGCTGGGAAATGAGCTTGAAAGGATGCATTCCCTGCAGAGGAGAGGGCCCACTAAAGCACTTGGCTCTCACCTATCTTGTAGACTCCCCATTGTCTCAGACCAGAGGAGGATACTTCTTCCAGGAAAAAATGGAGTTTTACTTCCAGTATGTCTCATTATAGGATTTTGTGGGGCAAGTGGGCTAGCTGTCTTGTCAAGGGTAGCCAATTTTTAAGGTATTTCCAAGATGTCTATTGCTCTTATGGCCAAGGGTATATTGTCGTGGAAGGTGAGAAGAGAGTACATCAAGACACACAGGAAGACATTTTTCAGTGTCAAGGAAACAGCTTTCTGTCACCGAATTGCCATTTTATTCAGAGGCACCCATGGAGACCTTTATGTGGGGCTCCCTGCTGTGCAGACGCTGCCCCAGAATTTGTCAGTTCTGTAATGTTCTCCCACTGATGCCAGCTTTGTGACCCTGGGAAAGTTACTTCGTGTCTTCAGTCCTTGTGTTCCTTATCAAACAAAAAAGTTGTGTAGCTTTATCTCACAGATAGTTGTAAGGATTAAATGGGACAATGCTGTGAAAGCAGCCTAGAGTGATGCCTGCCACATGCAGTGAATTCAATTTTTTCTTCCATTAGAGAGCTACGGGTTAAATTACTTAAAAATTCAGGAGAAGGAGACAATGTTTCTCTATAGAGCAAGCGAGGAAGTCTTCCAGGTAGAGGTGTAATTGTGTACCTGGGCCAAGATAGTGCTAGTGAGGTGGTGAACTTATTCCAGGGCTGGGGAAGGCTGCTGAGGTGCTTGGGAGTGTTCTGGATACCTGGAGTAGAGAGAAAAGTTGCAAATTA